TTACAAGCGCCGTGCTCTACCAGCTGAGCTACAGAGGACCACAATCATGTGCTCACGCTTCCTTCTCTCTTGTTCTCCTTTTTTCTCTCTCTCTCTTTCGGCATGGCGTGTATTGAGTAAGTCCTAAGCATCGTAGCTAATTATACTGAATGATTAGTATGAAAACTAAGTGCCTGTTCTCTTCTCCAACCCCCAATCCCTCTCCCTCTCTCTGACTGAGGTGCCTTCCAGTCTATTTCAGATGGTCTAGTTAATTTGGGAAACTATGAGGGCTGTTTTGCAGACAGAAAGCATATCCAATAAGTCCCCTATTTTCTCTCTGTCCCTGCAGCCACCTCTAAACGCCCAGATGCTGGCCCAGAGGCAACGGGAGCTCTATAGCTTCCAGCACCGCCAGAGGCAGCTCCTGCAGCAGAAGGTCATGTTGATGAGGCAGGGCATGGGGGGCGGGGGGCCTATGGGGGCCACCAGGGGACAAAAAGGACCCCAGCCACAGCAACAACAGTTTGGCTACCCTCCAAGCTACAGCCCCATGCCAGGGAACCCACCCAGCTCCCCCAGCCTCTTCAACCCCATGGGAGGGACCCAGGATCCTAAGCTGTCGGGCCAGGGCCCTATGGGCAGCCAGGCAACTATGATGGGGGGGATGCAGGGACAGTTTGGGGGGGCGGTGAACTCGGCGGTGCAGCTTGTGCTCTTCCAGCAGTTTGGAGGACCGGGTGAGTGACTAGGCTACCTGGGTATCCACCATAATCACTGTCTCTATAACATCTGAAATTGTCATTACAATGTGCTGTTAATATCGATATCAAAATAGCATATCATGTGCTGACATAGTCAATATTAAAATGTAATTTACAGTAGTGTGCAGACAGGATCAATATGAAAATGTTCTAACACTATCTCTTTGTCCGTCTCCTCAAAGGTATGGTCCAGCAAGGAGACCCCTCATTCCCTCCAGAGCTCAGCCCCACCAGTCCCCTGCTGTCCCCTCAGAACTCCACCTCCCAGAGTCCTCTGCTCCAGCAGACCCAGCCTTCTCCTGGGTACCAAACACCTGACATGAAGAGTTGGCAGCAAGCTGGCATGGGCAGCAACAGGTGAGGTGGCCAGAGCCATGCCTGTGTAAATGTGTAAATTGCATAGTCTGTTATTGACTTGTTATTTACATAGAAATTACACGGTCAGATGGTTATTACATAATTACTTGTTTGTTTCTTAGAGGATTCTTTCTAACAATCACTTGTGTAACATTATACCAGATGTGTTCAATTATTTGAAGTGAAGAAGGTACTAAAATTAAGCAGCTGCTTCTATATAATTTCATAGTAATTATAATGACCAGATATAGCAACTGAAAGAAGAGTGTACATAAAGCCACTGGTATCATGACTGTTCTGTCTGTGTCAGCTTGTTCAGCCAGTCTGGTCAGACGACGCCCCAGGCCTTTGGGCAACAGGGGGTCTACAACAACATGAGTATCACCGTGTCAATGGCAGGAGGCTCAGGGGGGGTGGGCTCGCTACCTTCCATAGGACCACCTGTTGGCATGGGCAACAGTAACCTTGGCGACATCAACTCCATGTGTAACGATCAGGTGAGGGTGCCACACCTGATGTCAGCCGCTTCAACTTAGAAGTCGAGTACAAAAGCAATAACAGACCATACAAGCTGCCCTTAACTGACGTGGTGAACCATTTCACTAAAGCCCTCCTATCGCTTTCATTTCCTTCTATCCTCTTCCCTCATTCCTTCACTGATGTCCTCTCTCCCTCTCCTCATCAGGTACAGCAGGTTCAAGTGTTTGCCGACGTCCAGTGTACGGTGAACCTGGTGGGCAGCGACTCCTACCTGAACCAGTCGGGGTCCATAGGCCCCCAGAAAGGCCCCCAGGGGCCTCAGAGCAGTCAGTCCCAGCAGAAGAGCCTCCTCCAGCAGCTCCTCACAGAGTGACTTCTGAGCTCAGTCGCCTGCCAGGAGAAAGGTGCTCCACAGACCACCAACCTCTTCTCTTTCTCACCTTTGGTTTTAGACACCTACCTGCCGGACTGGGAAGGAGACTGAGGTCCAGGTTAGAGTGTGTCTGTCTACCTGCCTGCCAGCCTCAGCTCGTACCGTAAGGCAGCAGCGATCGTTCAACACTCATTCCTGGTTACCTACTTTCAACACAAAGTCTGCTTTCTGTTCTGAGAAAGGAATCAGGTTCCGGTTTTGGCCATGTCGTCGTGGTTGTCAAAAGAGGACCTGGTTCCTAATTGTCTGTTCCGTCAGGCCATCGCAGCAGTGCGTCTTGGGAGCACGATCAGCATGCAGCTGAGCTCAGCTTTGGGTGGTTAACCCGTCGTCTCAACTTTTGCTCTCGCGCGGGGAGGACAATGTTTTGGGAATGTTAGGTTTTTAACCTCTGCAATGGGAAGCTCAGTTTCAGCTGGATCTGTGACTGACTGGCTCTCTCCACTGCAGTGCCTGATGGGAGGAAATTCCCAGCTCTCGTTTTATGTTTTTGTTTCTCTGTTCTCGTCGTCTGCGCCGTCAGGACAACAAGCAGCACGGCCAGGATGGGAGATTGCGCTGCTCTGCTCAGTTGGCAACACAGTCTTTCACGTTTTCAAACGACCAGACTGTTAAACTAACTGTCTGTCTTACACATTTTTCTCCCCAGCAGCTGTGAATATGAGCCATGTTGGGCTCTCCTTGGCCTATCAGTGTTGTTTGCCATGTGTAACCGTGCAGGTGGGTAGTATTGTACAGCACAGATGGACAAAAATTGGGATGAGTTCACACTTTCTACTTTCCTTTCAAAAGCGTAATTGAATTACTCTAAAATGCAACAGTCGTTTTTAGCTCAAACTATACATTGTGATTCAATGCAGTTACTTTTTCTTTTTTTAAATTTGAGAGTAATATGTCAGTTATTATAATTTTTAAGGCGATGTTTGGCATTATGAAAAAGTAACTCTGCTAAATGTGCTCTGTGTTCTGTAATGTGAAAAAACAAAAACTCGGTATAAGAATTTGATTGATTTTAGAAATTGCTAGCTCTACTCTTGGCATCCCATTGAATGTTTTAATCCCCTTAAATTAACCTAAAAACAAACAATAATGGGTTATCAATATTACACAATGACATGAATAGGTTGTAACTCATAACCGTATAATTTCCTCACTAAGAAGTGATGGAAGTTGAATGGGCTGTTGTCTTGGAAACACAGTGCTCTCTCTCCTCCAACTCTGCCCGTGATGATGTCACTCCACTGGCCGCACTCTACAGCTCTTTTTGACTGCTCATGTGACTACTGTTGCCCAGTCAGACACTGTCTATCAGCGCTAACCTCTGATATTTTACTATACACATTCATTCACATAGAAAGTCCGGCCAAACACCATGTTTGATGTGGGTAAACAATAACCTATTAACAAGCAATAAACTCTAAATGAAGAGAACGCAACAACAAAAAGAGTAAAGTTCGGCGACGTTGTAATGATAATGAAAAATCAAGTCTAATTTGGCTTTTGGCTTCTCTGCTCTATCCCAAGTATGTGTATTTCTGACTAAGAGAAGGCTTTCTAAAGGATATTATGGTCCAACTAGATATCTCACTGTGTATATACAAGGTATTTCACAAAGTGTGCAACATTACCCAAGCACAGCTAATAACCGAGGAGGGTTAGGGATGATCAGTTGAAATAGCATGCATGATCACCATCCTCTTTCTGAGACCTCAAACTGAACGTCAACTCCTATAATGTTCTATGATTTGTGAATCACATTGTGTACAGTTTCAATGGCGTCTGTGTGCCTGTGCTTTATACCCAAACAGTGGCTCAGGTGTCCTCACCATACAACTCAAATTCAACCTGGAAATGGCATCATTTTGTGTTATGTTGATTCAAGTTGACATGAAAGCTGGTAGCAGTTCCAATTCGGAGACAGAAAATAAATCATTTGTGAAACAGATAAACCTTGATTTGTAATAACAATTGTTCTTGTATATTCTAAGACACTTAAAATGTTGCTTTTAGCCTTTTGCATTTAATTCAAAACAATCTATGTACGATTAATAGAGCTATTTAAGTTTATTTTTCTTCTGATAATGTAATTGTTTTTATTTTCTATTTGAAAGGGACGTGGATTAACAATTAGTACTTATCAATGTTAAAGTCATTCCTGAGCCACTGTTTGGTTTATGTAAATAAACATACACTTTACAAAACACACAGAAGCAAGACAAAATTAAAAGAATGTATGTGGAAGGATTACATTTGTTTTCAGTATACATTGTACTATATAGGGTACCAGCTAACGGTTTCACACTCCCAGAAGTGTTATAAACTTTTCATGAATATCTTCTTCACGCAGTCTCCAGACTTCGCTCCTCATTTAGAAACAGGCATTACTGTATAGATAGTGTTAATAGAACTACATCAAATGCAGAAGTTAATCTGATCTGTTAATATTAACTGTTTATCATTTGGGATATAATGTGCCAAATACAAAGCACCATTAGACAACGGTCATTAACAAACAGACATTCTTATATGCAAGAGCCGCTCAATGGCAAAGACAGTCCATTCAGTACAGGTACAAGGTAAATATTTGAACTGGTTCTTCAACATGTTAACATGTATATAACAGACAATGTGAATATGTATTTGTTCAGAATCGACAACATGTAGTGCTCCAAGTTTGTGGTATTAACTACTCACTTCCATTTTATTTTTTTATTTTTCATTTTTACGTATATGACTGTCTGAGAGTATGTATGTGATTAATACTGTATATCTGGTGTTTAAGATGGAAACTGAATATGTCCTGATTTGATTTCTTATTCTTTTTAGATCCCTGCAGGTTTTCCTGTGGGTGTTGTTCAGATTGCTCTTTATGTGAGAGAATGGTTTAGCGACTGCTGAATGTGATTTTACTGAGAGAGAAGCAGTGTGGACTGGCTTTTGTACGGGTTAATTTAAAAAAGGCCATATTATTTAATTTCTCTGTTGTCAAAAAGTTTAAACAGATCTGAGAAAGTGGAACCTTGTATTCTGAGAAGCATTGCTTCGGTAGTTAAGTGGGCTTTTGTAGATCGCCTGATGTAGTTTTGCATTTTCAAAAAGTAATGACCAAAGCTTCAAGATGTTTAATTCATATCATATGCAAGGCTCATGCAATTGGATGAGACAAAATGTAGCGTTTGTTCACTTTTCTAAAAGGAAATAGTCTATACATACTAGCTACTCCTAGACCACACTACTAATTTGTGGTAGTTTGTGCTTTGCATGTTTGCCTTTTATTTCCTTTTCCACACAATTTGTCCTATGATACTGACAAGTGACCTATCAGATTTAGTATTTGTATCTAACTTCTATTCTTTGGAATATCCCAAAGTATGATCAGTTAGAAACTTCCTCTCCTTGTTGCCGTTGACTCCTGGCAAAGATGCAAAAAGGCTTGTAGGACCTGACGTGGTGTCACTGTTTACAGGAAGAGAGAACGTTGCAACAGCTAGCTATGCACCTTAACAAAAAGCTTTTTTTAAACACTGATTTAGGTATTCAAAGCCACACTAGAATTTGAATCAATTATTTAAATCGAGGTATTTTAGTTTATTGAAGAGAAGATAAAAACAACCTAGTGAAACTACTTTGTTTTGTTTTTTTACTCAAACTAGTATTGACGATAGTTGTCTGAACTTGTGAGTCTGTTCTATCAACTGAATATTCTATCAAATATTTCAATTTATTTAGCTGAATACTTTATACCAAATTTCAGGTGCCTCTTGTATATATTTTCTGCATAGGCTGCTCCTCGCTGTTTGATGATAATGTTACTGAGGATTTTCTTATCTTTACCTTTATAAAACAAGTTTGCTGCATTTTACATGACTTTTGTATAAAGAATCTAAATATTCCAGGAATTTGCAAGAAATACAATCTACTTTTGCACTTTATCTCAGAATTATTCAGAGGAAACAGGCCATCCTGAATACTACTCATGTTCAAATCAGATTACTATTTAATAAGGATGTTGCTGGCACCTTAATTGGGAGGACGGGCTCGTGGTAATGACCGAGGCGGAATAGGTGTAATGGTATCAAATACATCAAACGTGATTTCCATGTGTTTGATGCCATTCCATTTGCGCCGTTCCAGACATTATTATGAGCCGTCCTCCCCTCAGCAGTCTCCTGTGCCCTAAATGTAATAGAAAGTAAAATATTGATTTCTCAGGTTCTTAAGAACTTGGTAGCATAGCCTATCAATATGATGACAAAAGAGAAGTGTATATTCTCTACTACAACTCTGTAGTTTCACATTATGATCGTTCTCTCTGCCACAGATCCTCAATCTAAATGATGCCTTCTTCAGGTGATCCACTGCCCCTCTCCCCTCGGCCATTAGATAACTAACGCGCTTACACTCATACGTCCTGTCCTGCAGCAGCTTTAACTGTTCAAAACATTCCTCTTCATCTCTGCTCTTAGCTACCTGCAATCATTGTGCTCTGATCTATACCGTAGCATTTTACATTTTAGTAATTTAGCAGATGCTCTTATCCAGAGCGACTTACAGTAGTGTACTGGTCCCCTGTGGGAATCGAACCCACAAACCTGGCGTTGCAAGCGCCATGCTCTACCAACTGAGCTGCATGGGACCAGCATAGGTTCTATTCAATATATTTCTAGGCTTAGTAATTCCTACCAAGCCGTAACAGCCCTACATACGTGTACTGTAATCCCATGCGTCTGTCATTTTGTCACCACCTTGGAACATACTGCCTAATGCAGAAGCAACTAACATCCTTCTTAAGATTACCGCACTCTACCTTCTACAGGTATTACCTATCAACTGTTCGAGTATTGGAGCAACTGTTTGCTGATGATGTTTGTCAAGTATTGTAAGTGCTGCATTATTGAGAATGAAGTTGGAGAAGTCAAAAGATTGTGTCTCGCCACTTATAAGGCCAATGCTCTCTCATTGAAATGAGGTTCCACTTTTTCCCCTGTAAAATTAATATAAATAAATATATATATATATTATACATTTTACTAATTTTGTCCAGTTTTGTTTATTATACTTGTGTAAACTTGTTTTTAAAGAGGCATCGGAGCATCTGTGTGGGTGGGACAATATGAATGAAGTATCTGGGAGAATTATGCATGTTTTTATTTCTGTGTCCCAGTGGAATACCTGGGATAAATCCTACCTTTTCTTAGGACGTCATAGACAATCAGTCTCCGGCTGGGTCCAGTACCTACAGGTGGTCCCTGTAGACTGAAAGCAAACTGTTTTTGCATATACTGAAACAGTCTTATTTGTCTGTCAATTTTTTGGAGGTATGTGGCTGGTCAGACTAGGATTAGTTCAAAGTTTACACACACACACAACACACACACCTCGTGCGAACGTTCCCTCTATTGCTTTTCCAAGGTGAAGATGCTGACCTTGAAGGAAATGATGCTTTGACTAACAAATCTATAACATCCATGAATGTGAGAATGCAACACATTTGCAATAAAAGCACCATTTAAAACAGGATATGTAATGTTGGTTGATTGTCTTTTTTTTTTTACTGCACTGTATTCGGACATAGACTCCAATTTCTCCTTTTCATTACTGGCACACTACATTGACACTAGTTACAATAAACTGAGGTTGAAAGAGAATATAAGGGGCATATTCTGTGTATTGTAAAGTAACTAATAATACAAGACACAAATTAATTTATAATGTTTAATGCATCTTGTATGTTTGTAAACAGATTCCACTCACCAGCAGCTAGAAAAAGACCTTACATAACCTGTTCACCATTTAATTGAATCACAAGACACGTGGCCACATCAAATTAGGTGGACAGACATCTACTCTTTAAATGGCCATTTAATGGCAGCGTTCAGTGATTGATGTCTCCTTGTTACTGTAGGATGACAAACACTGACACTGTGCTTATCAGAGTGAGATTCTTCCTTGTGAATTTGAAGCACAGACACTGAATGCTGGTTCTAACCCCCTTCAGCATCACCAAGATGCACAGGTCAACCAAAAAGAAGACCATCATATTAACTGGTATGAAGCCATGGTACAGACTCCATTCACCAAATGCATGTTACAGGGGTCTCTCTTTGTCCCTCTGTGTCATTTGAACAGTTTGAACTTGTGCAGCAGAGGATGTACAGTCTCTTTGGGGTAAGGCTTCAGGGCCAGGCAGGTGGGGATGTTCTCTGGCTGCTCAATCCACAGCTTGTGGGCCAACCCATTCTCTGTCAGCGTCTCAGACAGGATGGAGAGGGAGGCCTGGTCCAGAGCCTGACCAACAGATGACGGAGAAGAGGGAGATCACAAGCATTAGTTTATTTTCTCAACAATCACATCTTATATCATTCACTGCATAATTATTCCATCCTACTGTATTCACTTTACATAAGAAACTTTACGTAAAAATATTGACTTTACATAAAAATGATTTTGTATTGAGAGGTTATATTGATGCAGCTTGATGAGACCACTGTGCGCATGGCCAAAGTCAGTAGGAAGCTTGTTTTGCAAACGTTTGCGCAAAACACAGGCATATAGATTTAGTTCACTATTATCAGTATAAAATGTATTAACTTCCAAGCTAATAATAGTACCCCAGTCCCAGCTACCTGAAGCACCACTTTGTGCATGCTGTCCAGTTCTGCCAGGTACTCCTGCGTGTCTGGGTCGTTGTAGTTTAGATGAATGGCGGCGGTGGCAGCATGGCAGGCTTGCGTTATAACCGCACCTAATGGCCAGGCCAACGTATGGACCAGGTCTGACCGGACCACAACATACTGGACAAGGCGACGGGGGGCTGCGGTTCCTGACGCCGCCATCTTCAGTTGGTAATGGTAGAGGACCGGAGGCAGCTAAGGCACAGATGAGAACAATGAGACAGATATTTCACCGGATGTATAAATGTGAAGCATCCGCTTGGCGTTTCCACGGACTACCAAATATGGTAGCGAGAGGAAGCCTAGTGGCCGGCAGTGGGAGAAGATTGAACAAGATGGATTTTGGCCGACATTCTGCACATTTTCTCATCGATTAAATGTTTTATCTCAATACAGTTTTCTGTTCCCAAAACTAGAATCTGTTACGAACTGAGTGGACTAAGTTTTGTAGATGTTACCCTTTGCTAAAGTTTCAAAACAGTGCGTTGTTTAGGAGTGCAGAGGCGAATTGAGTTATTGCACACGCCCACTTCAGAGTAGGCGTTCCCTAACATAAATATGCAAATGATACTAGAACACGCCAATAGGATCTCGCTAGATCGTGGAAAGATGGCGGACGTGGACGATGAAGTTGATTCTGAATCAAATGGCGGTAGAGTCAAGGAGAATTGGGGTGTTGTTCAAAATAATGGAAAACGGAGCAAGGTAGTGTACAGTGATGAGAATGTCCATTCGTATCTAGTAGGAGTACGGTTTGTTAATGAGGAGCAGTTGAGCAGATTACCAATATTGAAGAAACCGTTTGAGATATCCAAACTGGTGGAGAGAGTGCTGGGTAAAGTGAAGACTGTGAGGGTGGGTGCACCGTCACGAGAGGCGGGCTTGTTTTGATTTATTGTGCTTCTGCGGATCAGAAGGAACGTGCGTTGCAATCCGCCCGTTTTGATACATTTGAAGTGTCGTGTGTGTCTCTTCGGAACAGGGCACCCCTCAAGGGGGCTATAATCTGGCGTCTCGTGGGAAGTCGATTTTGAAGAGATTAAAAATATTCCTGGAGTGATTGATGTACGTCGGATGAATCGTGTGGTGAATGGTGAAAAAGTGAAGAGTATCTGTTCTTTTGTTTATTGATATGGAGTCTCTCCCTACTCAAGTGCAGTTGGGTTATATAAACTACAGAGTCAGAGCATTTATCCCAAGACCAATCAATGCAGTGTGATCATTGTAAAGCTTTTGGTCATGTTTCAAGTGTTTGCAGAAGGGAGAAGCCGAGATGTCCAAATTGTGGAAAAGTTCATATAATGTGTTATAAAAGTGCGGAAAATGTGACATGTTGCAATTGTGGTGGGAACCATGGAGCTACATCTTTCGATTGCCCGACAAGGGTGAAAGAGAATGAGGTGGCCAAAGTCAGGGCTGTCCAGAACATTTCATATGCAGCAGCTGTCAAAAGGGTTGAGGGTTTGAATGGTGCTCCTGAAGAGTCCATGATGGTGGATAGGCCTTCACTGCAGGCTGCAGGGGTTGCCTTTCACCAGCAGGACCCTGACATTTTAAAGGTTAAGAAGGTGGACTTTGTGGACTTTGTGGCCTTTATAGCTATGGTGATTAATGGCACTGCCAAGGTGGAGAGAAGGTCCAGGAAGACAGATACCATTGTGGATGCGGCGGAGCGGTTACTGGGACTGAAAGAATTCTCAGCAGGGGAGTTACATGGAATATTGTTACAAGCTTGAAAGAAGGAAGAAGTGGGAGTTTTGTTTTTGTCAATGTACTATTTTTAATTAGGTAGATTAAGTTAGTTTCCCTATCACAATTGTTAGAAATTGCATAATTCAAATCTGGTATTTGGAATAAGAATCAAGAGATCTACAGGACTGTTTTGCTAGCACAGACTGGAACATGTTCAGGGATTCTTCAGACAGCATTGAGGAGTACACCACATCAGTCACTGGCTTCATCAATAAGTGCATCGATGATGTCGTCCCCACAGTGACCGTACGTACATACCCCAACCAGAAGCCATGGATTACAGGAAACATCCGCACTGAGCTAAAGGGTAGAGCTGCCGCTTTCAAGGAACGGGACTCTAACCCGGACGCTTATAAGAAATCCCGCTATGACCTCCGACGAACCATCAAACAGGCAAAGAGTCAATACAGGTCTAAGATTGAATCATACTACACTGGCTCTGACGCTCGTCGGATGTGGCAGGGCTTGAAAACTATTACAGACTACAAAGGGAAGCACAGCCGCGAGCTGCCCAGTGACACAAGCCTACCAGACGAGCTAAACCACTTCTATGCTCGCTTCGAGGCAAGCAACACTGAAGCATGCATGAGAGCACCAGCTGTTCCGGACGACTATGTGATCACGCTCTCCGTAGCCGATGTGAGTAAGACTTTTAAGCAGGTCAACATTCACAAGGCCGCAGGGCCAGACGGATTACCAGGACGTGTACTCCGAGCATGTGCTGACCAACTGGCAAGTGTCTTCACTGACATTTTCAACATGTCCCTGACTGAGTCTGTAATACCAACATGTTTCAAGCAGACCACCATAGTCCCCGTGCCCAAGAACTCTAAGATAACCTGCCTAAATGACTACCGACCCGTGGCACTGACGTCTGTAGCCATGAAGTGCTTTGAAAGACTGGTCATGGCTCACATCAACAGCATAATCCCAGAAACCCTAGACCCACTCCAATTTGCATACCGCCCCAACAGATCCACAGATGATGCAATCTCTATCGCACTCCACACTGCCCTTTCCCACCTGGACAAGAGGAACACCTACGTGAGAATGCTATTCATTGACTACAGCTCAGCATTCAACACCATAGTGCCCTCAAAGCTCATCACTAAGCTAAGGATCCTGGGACTAAACACCTCCCTCTGCAACTGGATCCTGGACTTCCTGACGGGCCGCCCCCAGGTGGTAAGGGTAGGTAACAACACATCTGCCACACTGATCCTCAACACGGGGGCCCCTCAGGGGTGCGTGCTCAGTCCCCTCCTGTACTCTCTGTTCACCCATGACTGCATGGCCAGGCACGACTCCAACACCATCATTAAGTTTGCCGACGACACAACAGTGGTAGGCCTGATCACCGACAACGATGAGACAGCCTATAGGGAGGAGGTCAGAGATCTGGCCGTGTGGTGCCAGGACAACAACCTCTCCCTCAACGTGACCAAGACAAAGGAGATGATTGTGGACTACAGGAAAAAAAAGAGGACTGAGCACGCCCCCATTCTCATCGACGGGGCTGTAGTGGAACAGGTTGAGAGCTTCAAGTTCCTTGGTGTCCACATCACCAACGAACTATCATGGTCCAAACACACCAAGACAGTCGTGAAGAGGGCACGACAAAGCCTATTCCCCCTCAGGAGACTAAAAAGATTTGGCATGGGTCCTCAGATCCTCAAAAAATTCTACAGCTGCACCATCGAGAGCATCCTGACTGGTTGCATCACCGCCTGGTATGGCAACTGCTTGGCCTCTGACCGCAAGGCACTACAGAGGGTAGTGCGTACGGCCCAGTACATCACTGGGGCAAAGCTCCCTGCCATCCAGGACCTCTATACCAGGCGGTGTCAGAGGAAGGCCCTCAAAATTGTCAAAGACTCCAGTCACCCTAGTCATAGGACTGTTCTCTCTGCTACCGCACGGCAAGCGGTACCGGAGTGCCAAGTCTAGGTCCAAAAGACTTCTCAACAGCTTCTACCCCCAAGCCATAAGACTCCTGAACAGCTAATCATGGCTACCCGGACTATTTGCACTGCCCCCCCCACCCCATCCTTTTTACGCTGCTGCTACTCTGTTAAGTATTTATGCATAGTCACTTTAACTCTACCCACATGTACATATTACCTCAACTAGCCGGTGCCCCCGCACATTGACTATGCAACGGTACCCCCCTGTATATATAGCCTCCCTACTGTCACTTTATTCTATTGTATATATAGCCTCCCTACTGTCACTTTATTTTCTACTTCTGCTCTTTTTTTCTCAACACTTTTTTGTTGTTTTATTCTTACTTTTTTGTTTAAAATAAATGCACTGTTGGTTAAGGGCTGTAAGTAAGCATTTCACTGTAATGTCTGCACCTGTTGTATTCGGCGCATGTGACCAATAAAATTTGATTTGATTTGATTTGATTTGATCTTCAATCCAAGCTAAATTTATTATATGCAAAATGTATGGATGATAAGTATGTTGGTTCGTATACGGGCTCACTGAAAAACCTCGCAGGGCAGACAGAGAACTAAAACATTGTTTCAGATTCAATACTCAAATACTCTGACAGAGAAAGTTTCCCACTTCTCTGCTGGCCAATCAGAGTAAAGGACTGCGTGTGGTTTAAACTTTACTCAGCCAATCCGTTGATGCACCCCTGTTGCCAGCCTCTTCTGTTACCAGGCATACGTTCATCATAACAACCTGTCATAGTGAGAAGAGCCAGCTCCCTTAGACACCATTCCTACGTCCAAGGAAGGTTCACAGATAACAAAGAACCAGTATAGTCTAGCATTTGGAGACACAAATCCTTATCTCCCTTTACCCCCTAAAACAGCTCTTCACATCAATCACAGCCTGCCAGGTGTCACAACCTACATTAGCCCAGTCAAGAATGCATTCTTTCTAAGTTAGTCATCCCATCAATTTAGGAGAATAATAAATCTCTCACACAATGTTTTTTATTTTGTACCTTGTTTTGGTTTTTCAACCCATCCAGTTGGTGGCGGCAATGCACCTTTTTGGGTTGTAGTCCGCCATACAACCCACAGAAGAAGAAGAAGAAGCTAGCTCGTGCTTCGCTCTGCCCACCCTTTTAGCTTGTTCTGCCTACAATGACTAGTTTGTTCCCGTTTGAAACGACAGGCTGTGGTCTATCTTGGTTTAATTATAAACATCTTTGGCTAAGGTTCTTGGTGGCTGGACGGCAGATGTTTGTTGAAATAGGCTACAAAGTATTTCAGATGGTGTGCTTTTGATCCAGATTTGTTATTGGTTCCATCCAACATCATTGGTTCCATCTCTCTTGTGATTCCATTTTAGTTACTTCTCAGATTAATTTACACTCAGTAACAATGCCTGATTTTCAATCAGGACTGAGACTGGACCATTCAGAAACACTGGAAATGGAAACTTAAGGCAAACTGGTGTTACTCACAATGATCAGTGTGCTTTGCTTGTCTCAGGAGTAGGTACTGGAGCCGACTGT